CTTTGTACAAGAGGACTGTCTATGTGGAGGAACTCTGTAAGAAACTTGCTTCAATATTATTCAGATTTTCTTGTGAAATCATAAACAAACATTAACACTGTGTTGTTTTAATGGTTGTTTATCTCTTTAGTTTTCACTGACCTTTTGATCTTAGTCAAAGTTTTGAGACCTTCCAGTCATATTATGAAAAATAATTTATTTTATGTGCAGGTCTTCTGGATCCCCCCTCCATTGTCTCTCTACAGCCAGAAGACACTGTGGGGAAAATGCTTGTTTCTCTTGGCAGAAATTTAAAACACCTATGGATGAAAAGCAAATATAGAATTCATTATTCTTCTAAGACACTTGGGGAAAAAACAGTAGAGGTAATGTACATTTTAAGTGTATTTATTTTATGTTTTTTACTTGAATTGAATTTATATAATGTGGTGCTCAGTAAAGCCACCTCACATATTTTGCCCATGTTTGATTTCTAGTCTTACAAAAATATTTCAAATCATCAAAAAAATTTCAATTTCAGGAAAAGACAGCCTGAATAAATAACAAAATAAAACAATGAGCAAAGAATTATAACATTTATTAAAGAAAAATGCAATCCAACCCAAACATAGACCTATGTATAATATAATTCCTGCCCTTGTTAAATCATGATTGAACTGTGATTAACCCCATTTTTGGGACATCACATCCTGCCCTGATCATAGCAAAACCAGTAAAAGAAAGAAATCATTTAAATAGAACCTGTTTAAAAGTTAACTATTTTAAAGAAGAAAGGATAAAAATAGACCCAACATGAACCACTTCTTTCTAATTAATCTATAAGGTAATAGTTCTAGATAAATACTTAAAGTAATCCCTCTTGTTTGCAGGTAAAAGACGACAGCTTTCTGCTCTCACTGGAACCAGGTGAGGAGGTTGAGGTTCAGGCTTCTGTGAAATGTGCAAACAGACCAGATGAACATCCTGGATACTGGAGTGCCTGGTCGAAACCTGTGCGAGCAATAGTTCCCCAAAGTGCAGGTGTGTCTGATCGAAAACAAACTATAAATAAAAACATGGTTGTAGAAATCCTTAATTAGTTCTCCTGTTTCTAGACAGGAAGCTCCTCTGGCGTCTCTGTGGTTCCATGCTGATCATCATTATCTTCTTCATCCCAACCGTTTTACTTTGTCGCAGGTACTTTTGTTTTCAACTATTTATTTTGTTGTGAAAGCAATTATAAATTTATTATATGTTCTTTTTAAAACAAATATCAATATTTAGAAGTAATACATTCTCTGAAAAAGATCTAGTATTTGAAAAAATTGAAAAGTGTTAGAAAAAAACATCATTATGTTCTTTTTTTTTTAGGAAGCTCAAGCTGCTCTTTTGGCCTCCAGGGCCCAACCTTGAAAAAGTTCTTCAGGGCTTCCTGACAGACATCAACCAGCAGAAATGGGTAAAATATTTAGTGGCAGGATTTAAAGTTTAAAGTAATCATAAGCAATCATAGACAAAACAACAAATAAAAACAAAATGGTAGCACAAAATAATACAGTGTGTACTTTCCCAGAACTTAAGTCATTTCCAGAACTTACCATCCACCTTTATGAAAATTTCATGAAACAAAGTGGTTGCTTTCCTTCAGCTTATAAGTTACTTTGTAAGACATTTCCGATACTTTACTGAATAGTCCAGAAAGTAACTCCTAATGTTTCCAGGAAAGAAACTGGGAAACCCAGAAAAAAAATACAAGTAAATTCTATGTTCTATGAAAGAAGAAGCTCCACTAAATAAAAAAAATGTTGCTAGAGCAGCTGTCACTGTGAGACATGTTTTAAATAAAAGTCCACCACTTTGTAAAACTCATAATTCATTTAACATTGCTCTCATTTTGTTAAAATCCTCGAGGAATAAAACCCAAATGATCGTCTTGTTTTGTCTCCCCACATGTTCACCACTACAAAAAACAAATGTTCATAGTTCATCCTAAAATAAGTAGAAATGTATAATAAATGTTAACAGAATTAATACATTTAAAGCTGAATGACTAAATAAATTCTGAGTTACTCACCATGAATTAATGAACTCACCTTACAGAATCCTCCAGTCACATCGAAGCTGTGTTTTGAAGAAACAACCTCCTCTGTAGTGGAGATCATGTCTGATGAGCTTCCAGTCCTTGACAATCCTTCTGAAGAACTCAACTTCCTCTCCTCTGATGGAAGCTTTTCCTTTGAGAAACAGGCAGATGGGAGTTCTGGGAGCGAAACCCTCAGAGACTATGTCACTCTGAACAAAGATCTGTCCGTTCTCTGCCTTAAGCAAAACTGTTATGTCTATGAGCAATTTAAAGATGGAAAAGATCCTGAGAAAGGAGATAACCTTTCTACAACATGCCACTGTCTTAAGCCTTGTTCGTGCAGCAACTATTTTAACCATTCTTACCTACCTTTGTCTCAGTCTACAGATGGCTTGAATAAAAACATCAATGTTGGACATGATAAAAGTAACCCTTATACTAACCTTTTCCTCGACTAAACATGCAACACAAGTGTGCCTCCAACTTAAGTTCTCTGTACAAAAGTGATCAATTCACATAGATTACTGGATATAGTTTCAGTAAAATCTACATTTGAAAAAGAATTAAAAACTAGAAAGGTGATAATAAAAATGAAAAGGAATATTGCTATATTACTACGGATATATAGAAAAAAGCTTGAAATGTTTATTATAACCGTTGTAACAATAAGTGCTGTTATAAATGCTCTTTTTTATGCAGTTATTTTTGGAGTATATTGGATTATGCTGAACATATAACAGTTCTTATATTTTTCATGTAACATTAAGTTTAAGTATTAGCAACTAACTTTACATTCAGTTGTATGGGACAGTATAATTGTATTTTTTTTTTACTATTTGTAGTTCTGTTTAGTAATCCATTACTTACTTGCTTCAGAGCTTGAATACTTACAATATAAACATGTAAATGTTTAAGAATAATAAATTTTAAATTTCTTTTTAAAAATTAAAGGCTGTCAGGGTACTTAGAGAGAAAAATCTTGCAAATTCTTTGATAAGTATAGAAAAATAAAACAGAAGTAATATAATAATAATAATCTAGGTGTTTTTATGTTGTTTGTTGTTGTTTTATTATTGTATTTTAATTGTATCAGGCAGTTTTGGGGAATGCAAAGTTAGACTTTGTGCTATAACCTCATACAGTGCATCTCTTCTCTTGTGGTTAATGTGTACTGTATATTTTCGCTGTTTTAAATAAAGTAAATCGTAAATCTGGAAAAGTATGAAACATTGTGCACATTGCGCAGGGACCTTGTACTTTGTTCTGTAGTTCTTGTTTAATACCACAAGGTGGCAGCACACATCAACATGCCGATGTGTGCAGCCACAATGAGGGACGTCGAGGGACCACGGACTGAATCTGGACCAAAAACATAAACTCACATTTTCTCAGGCCTTGTGATCTTGTTAACTTTTTGCACACTCATATGAGATATGAGGATTGAGATGCCATTATTTGTTTTAAAAGAAGTTTCTACTCTAAGGTTAATAAATGACTCACAACACAGATGAAAGCTAATGTTGATTTATTCATAAAATAAAAGGAAAAGGCTCAAGTATAGAGGAGTTCGACAGTTTGAATTAAAACCAAAACACCTGAGATGGAACAATAACACCTTAACAACTAGGAGTGGATGTAAACCCTACATGTTTGACGTTTTAACAGCTTTAAAATATTTTTTTATCTGAGCCCAAACTTAGATAATTTTGCAATTTAGCTGAATTAGTTCAGAATTACAGTCTAAGTATGGAGGATCATTATACTGTAGCTAAGGCATCAGAAGAAAACTATCCAGTCCAACTACTGTTTGCTATCACACCAGCAGCAGATCAGCACCGTCTGCCAAGGCGTATGATGTCACATTGATAAAGTAGCCCCGCGTTGTCCATGAGGCGTTAGGAGAAAGGTGGGAGACAGAATGTGTTCAAAGTGAGACAGGCAACAGAAGAAGAAAATTTAAAAGGGCCAGTGTTTACTCCCCAAGCTGCTTTTCCTCCCGACATGAATTCTTTCCATGTTTCATCACTGCCCACTTGCCCATACGCTAATGTCTATGGGGGGAGGTTGAGTCACCTCTTGATGTCATTTCCTCAACTTTCACAGACAATCACACCGAGAACCAGAGCTGCCTCAGATGTGATGGACATGCAGGGTTATTATAGAACATGTGTTTGTATTTATCGTGTTGTCATGTTTACAGGCCTCAAACACGAATTCACCAACAACGGAAATGAAGCTACTTAAGCAGCAGCAACATAAGGTTGGCTTCTGCTGGAAGCTCATCACACGACTGTGGTTAACTGGTTCTGAAAACTGACTGCAATCACATTTGGTCCTGTTGAATTTTGTGCTGCAGAGAGTGCTGACAGGATGGCATACATCAGTTTCTGAAGGAAAAACTGCCAAACAAGAATAACAAACATCCAGTGTAATCAAAAACACAGGCAGAACTAATGATGTTGGAGAAAGTGCAGCAACCTCAGAGTCGTTCAGTGGGAGAAAAGTCATTGATTTTCCACAAAGGCACTGGCAGAAGTAGGAAGGAAGGTTGTGTTGGTTTCAATAAAAACATACAGTGCCTTAAAAAGTATTTTCTACATTTTGTCATGTCAAACCACAAATGTTAATGTATGTACCTTGTATTTTATGTGATATTTTACCACAAAGCAATGCATGAATATCTATCTCAGTCAGCTTTTATTCCAGTATTGCCCTGCCTTAAACTATGGTCATATTTCCCATCATCTCTTACCAGCTCCTGCTGATAAAAAGCAACTTAACAGTATGACGATGACAACACTTTGTTTCAAAGTGGAAATGGTTTGTTCAACTAAGAAAAGAGGTTTTCAAAGGTTGGCATAGGGTTGTATAATCTAACCCTGGAGTAAACGTCTCCGCATTTTATCCCACCACACAATGATTGTGTTTTTTGGTCTTCATGATTGTTTGTCTAATATCAGATCTTTAAGGAACAACTGCATTAATATTGAAATGTAATCCCACAAACGTGGCACTATTAACTAAGTAGTTTACTTCTAAAGGCGGTTGGTTGCTGCAGTTGCTATTTGGCGGTATCAGACTTCTGTTGTTCTATTACATGAAGTGAAATACAATATCTGTGGTTTTAACATGATTAAAATGTAAAACATAGTTGAATGTGTGTGATTTCTTATGCAAGGCACTACATTCATGACCTATGCATGGTTGGTACAGTATTTTTTAATTAGTCTTTTCTTTTTTGCAACAAATATGCTGAAACTGTTGGTGGTTGTGTAGTATTAGATAGCAAACTGGATTTTAACGAGCAATTTGTTTAAGCAAGTTATTAAAAGTAAGAGTGCTAATGGATTTTGAAGGGCAGAAATTTAAACATTAAAACAGGAATGGATTTAAAAAAAAGATTACAATCATCATACCAAAAGACTTTTCAAGCTTTTTGCTACATTGTCATTTTTAAACATATTTATGTATTTTCAGAATTAGATTCAGCACCAAGTGTATGGAAACAGTCAGAATTTTGCTGTGAATGGGTAATAAAAGTGAAACTTTAGGTGACAGTTCTAGTTGAACTGGTTTCTTTGATATTGGTCCAGAATACATTTCTTTAAAAATGTAAGTTTACTCACACTATGTAGGCACAAGATCACACAAAAGGTAAATCACAGTCAAAATGGTGCATGTAAACAATATAGCCTAACTCTATACACATCTTCTTTTAGATCTGCAGAACAATGTTATTAATATTTCAGCTTACAATGACAAAATAGGAATCTATTGAATCTGTGTTAATTTCATTGAGCTTCTCTGTGAGTCATAAACACTGAATGGTATTCACAGATTAGTCAATACATAAGCTATGAATCTTCATAAGGTTCAAGGATGTAAATCAACATGGCACATACATCCCTCTACTGATTTTAAACAATATCTAACATTAGAAGAGACAGCTGTTTTGGTCCTGTTGTTCACTTTTAACATATTGAACAGTGTCGGTTTTAAATTTTAGGGCAAAATAGCTCGATTATCAATCCTGATTTCTTTAAAAAGATGTTGGTAACCTGATGCTTTATGTTTATCATCTAAACTACTCTCACATTTTAACTCGTCTTATTCTAATTTCAGTGTACTGGAGAGATGACCTGATGGTTCCCTTTAGATTTTATGTAATAGAAATTACTGAAAGTGCTCATCTCTCCTCTAACTTGCTCTTTTTGTTCAACATTAAGCTGTATACCAGCTGCAGTGCTTGATTAGCATGCACTGAAAGATCACTTTTCAACATGCTCAGATGTTTGGATTCTTGCTGATGAGCACAGAGCAGCATGTGAGAGCCCCGTCCACTTTAACTTTCTCCATATTGGACACAGGAATCAGCATGTGGTCTTTCAGCTTTTCAAACACCTGCAAGACACAAAGACAAGAGTATCAGCACAGATATTCAATTTTTTTGTGTTTACAAGATTTTTAGAAAATTGGTGCCACATTCAGTCTAGTGCAATTGGAAAACATGTCTTATGAATTTGACTGTTCATTACTTTTCTGATCTAATTCTTTAAATGTGGGATTTCAGTCAGTGGCTCAGCTGCATGAAAAAAATCGGTGTCTGGATGATCCAAGTTAGGAGAAATAATTAGAAGATCTCACCAGATACTCAGGTTGATAGGAACTCAGAGTGAATCAAGCTATAAAGCAGAATTTTACAACCCTATCCTGAAATCTTGTGCATGTGTCTCATTTCAGAAACACTAAATGGCTTAATAAATGCAAATATAAAATTTGAGTGCTGCAAAACTTCTAGCCATAACAAGCTTGCAAGGCATGACAGCTATTGCCACAGGCAAACGTGGTGATTCAAGAGTTGCGTTACCAAGGGAAATTTTTACATTACCACATTTCTAGTAGAAATTACACTCCAAGTTCTCTTCAGGTACTCTGAGTTGCTCACACAGTCCAAACGTTTGTATCTTAGATTTATTTGTTTCTCTAAATTGCCCTTAGGGATGTTTGTCCCGTGATGATCTGAAAACCTGTCCACGGTGTACCCCTTTTTTTTTTTCACTCACCACTGAAGTTGGGCACCAGCGCCCCCTGGATCCTGAGTAAATAAAGTAAATAAAAACAAGCTAAAGCGTTAAATGAGCAGTTCAGACAGTGCGCTGCCATCTGGTGGCCAAGTTGCAGACCACAACAATGTGCCAACTATTTTCACAGGTAAGATGATAAATGGCCTGAATTTGCATAGCACTTTATCAAGTCAGATGATTTCAGAGCAGTTCACCCATTCATACACACATTCACACAATGATAAGGAAAGCTACATTGTAGCCACAGCTGATCTGGGGCAGAGTGATGATAAAAGCACATCTGCTATTCAATCAGAGCCACTGGACTCTGACCACAGCCAGCAGGCAAAGCAAGTAACGCATCACAGCTACAAGACAAGAACTGAGAGGCTGGTTCGAACCAGCAACCCACCGATTACAGGACAAATCCCAATCACCTGAGATGCTAGTCGGGCTATCTGTAGTTTAGATGGAAACAGGACAGAGAAAAAAAGAAACCAAAAAATGACTTATTTTTGTTTGCAATATTCCACAAATTAAAAATAATGTACATCATACTGATGAGGAACCCATAACTGTCATGGGTAAATGTGCAAAATATACAAAATGTCTTCTCTGGACTTTTAGCACTATTCATATGAAAGGTAAATTTTGCCAGTATTAACAAACTAAAGGGTTTCTCATTGTAGCTTCAGCTTTTTTTATGTAAATAAACCAAATGCTGCTTCCACCAGTCATTTCGAGCATTAACCGGTATGAACTTTACAAACGAAATAAAATTATTTGTGCACAGACAAGTGATTGTTAAATTGCTTTTGGTGGCATAGATCCAAAGGGAGAGAGACAAAATATTAAGCAAGAGAACAGCTCTAAACATTTTCTCGTCTCTAAGCAAATTCTCCAAACAAAAAAAAGAAAAGAAAATGGAGTGAGAACTATTACAGCATTCTCAAAAGACCCTTGTAAAGTAATGTGTCACACTGTGGCCGTTTTCCAAAAGAAAACCACTGTTTTCCTACTGCACTTCCAAACCAGGACATTTTTCTCTTTAAACTCTTGCTTCAACCCTGCAGTGATATCAAGTGAGGCCTTAAAGCACAACCAGGGGGACCAACTAAACACACTTATAAGGAGTGATGCAATATGGCGAACAAAGCTTCTGTTGATGCAGATGATATCTTTAACGTCACTACAATGACTGCTTAGAATGTTGTGTAATGCAGCAACATCAGCCAGATCTCAGTGCAACTGAAACAGTGACACTCCCCTTTCACAAACAGTATTGGAGTGTTCGAAACTATGGTGTTAATGCATGTTCCTACATAGTTTTCACATTATTCCTTCTTCGTGCGTTGTCTAAATTACTACTGTGGAAATCTGCCTGTGCTCATTTGTCCCTAACTGCCGTCTGTTGAAAAGAAATGTCTACATGGCAACGGGAATGTGATGACAAACTTAGCTCTAAATGTTCAGCAGTATTAGTTGTCCATTGAAATTTGCAAACATTTTTTCACCCACAAAAAGTAATTTATGTTTAAATATGTGTATATATCCATCAATATATTGTACTTTGCTTGTCCTCTCCATACTTAAATTATCCAGCTCATCAGCAGGATCCCAACACCCAAGGTGTTCCAAATCCACAAGGTCTCAGCGAGTTCTGTCCAAGAGTCTGCTCTCACAGGCAGGTGCCCAGGAAATCTCTAATGGGAGGCATCTTGATTGGATGCCCAAACAACCTCAAATGACTCATTACAGAGGACCATTGGTTCCACTTCAAGCTCCCACTGGATGATTGAGTTCCTCTCCCTCTCACTATGGCCCACCCAACCTACGGAGGAAACACATTTCAGCCACTTATATCCGAAATCTTGTTCTTTTAGTTTTTCATTGTTAAGCGGTCATAATAAACCACCATTTGCCTATTTGGCTCTGCTCATTCTTTACCTCAACAGACCAAGCCCAAGCCCTTAAGACTGTTAATAAGGCCCAAGAGAGTCTATCCATCTCCCTTTACATTCTTGTTAACAAGACTCCAAGATATCACAACTCCTCAGCAAAAGAAAGCGACTCAGCACCAAGCTGTAGGGCAAAAGAGCTGACTCTTATCTCAACCATATAGTTCCCTGAGGATGAAGGCTTGAAAATGGCATCAAAATCAAATCATCGGCAAAAAGACAGACTCTGAGATTCCAAATCAGATCCCATTCTCCCCACAATTTAAGATTTTATCCATGAACACCAGAAACAGGGCCAATGACAAGGGTAAGCCAGGGGGGTGTCCAAACTGCATTGGGAACAGACTTCACTTTTCGTCCAAAACGCAGAGGCAGCTCTTAATTTGGCTATTCAAGGACCGAACAGCTTAAAAGCATCCTTCACACCTAATGCTCCAATACAGCACTCGTTAATTCACCAACACAACACCCATACAAAATACTCCAAGAAACATATTTGCAAGCACTCTCCATGCATTAGACAGCCAAACTGAAAAGTCTATATTTGAAAATGGCATTTGCTTTTATCTTGCCATTTTGATATTCTTGTGCACAAAAGTAGACATTAAAAACTTAGAGGATAACTTTACTGCCACCAAAAAGTCTCAACCTTAGGTTATCAAATAAAAGATTTCTCAGGAAAGGTCAAGACTTTGCATAGCTTTTAGAAACACATTCACATTAATGACTTTTCTTCTGTTTATCTCTTCGGCCTCATATTCCCTCTTTTTTAAATCATACCAAGCCTATTTTTTTATTACAGCAGTAAGGACTTATGTTTTGGGTCAGGTTGACATAGTCCTAAACAGTAGGATCATAAGTTACAGGGGCTTTTGTATGCTTCATTTATTTAACTCCGGACTTCCAGGACATAGCTAACCGTTTCATGTGCCAGATCTTCAGCCTGTCATACCCCACCAGTCTTCTCATGACCCCTGGTTTTGTTTGTGTGGAACTCTTATGTAACTTCACGAGCAGCTAAAAATAGAGCGGAGGTCAGGACAGACAGTGTTTGGAGGCAGATGTCTTGCTGAGTGCCTCTGTGATTATGTAGACAAATCTCTACATCTCACAGGAAGAGCAAGCAAAAATTTCCTCTGGGAAACATGTACCAACTCCAGACCCACTGCGCAAAACATGACAGTCTGCTCTGATTAAGCAGCTCCTGCTGTTTTACTGCATCTGGTGTTATTAATATATTTCCCTAAGTTACAAAATCTTATATATGTGCAAATATGGAACAGAAATTAGACTTTAATAGTTTTTGGTATGCTTGAAAAACATAGATGGAACTGTATCATAAATCAGCAATGGTGCCTTGTATATTTATTTTAATCCTTGGGCTTATATTAAGACATTGTAAAGCACAAATGCAAATGTTTGGGGATTTAATGCGATAGACCAACTCAACTTGGGGTAATGTGAGAAAAAAAAAATGATACATGGTTTTCAGAAATGATTAGAAATAAAAATGCACACCACGCATTTTTATTTCTAATCATTTCTGAAAACCATGTATCATTTTTTTGATTAGAAATAAAAATGCGTGGTGTGTCATTGTGTCCAGTCTCAAATTTGCGACAAACTCTCCCACCTGCAGCTCCTTCAGAGTCTCTATCAGCCTCTTACCTGCTTTTCTGAACAGTTCTATCATTGCATTGAACTGAGTAGTGGTGTATAACATGTTCGAAGCTTGGGATATTGTTACATACCGTAACCTCCCCTTGTGACTCTCCACAACTTCACCCCTGACCTTGTATGATTCTTAGTCTTCGTGAGGCTTTTCTTCACAGATGTTTTCTTTCTAACCCTCAGTAATGTGCTAATTTGTGTTGGTCTACCAATATAATCGCAGTAAAATTTATTGGAGTTTGAGGCTGATGGCAAAAAGGTTCTGGAGGAATATTTGTGCAAGGCACTGTACATTCTTCACAAACCTATCCAAATAGACTGTTAAAAGGTACTCCCAAAGCAAGCAGCATTATATACACAAATAGATTTTATCATGCTCAAGCTAAATTCCATCAGCCATTCTTCCTGGCAGAAAACAGAGACTTCTTTGCGGATTTAGGTCCAAAGACACATCATTTTGTGAATTCCTCCTTCTAAAAATAGCTGGCTAGGTTTGGGCCTTTAACCACAGAGTACATTTTGAGGTTTGAACACTGTCTCTGCAGACTATGTGTTGCCAGGTTTAATCTTGTGAGAACCATTATGACTTGTTGTGATTTGGAGTCACCCCAAAGAATCAAAATAACACAGCTACTGCTCAGTCTTCCCTGACCCAGCAGACAAATGGAGAAAATAACACATAACTCATGTCAAGCAGCCACATGGAATATACGTGTCATGGGTCAGAGACACAATTTTCCTTAAAGCTAAGCTGTTTGAGACTTTAATGCTACTGTACTGTATATTTGTGGGAAACATTTAGCCGTGTATGTTTCTAGACAAGTGACCGTGCAAACATATTTTCTNTGGAAATCTTTCTGACATGTGTTCTTTTCGTGGAGATGAGTCTGGAGCAATGAAGATCAAGCTCAGCAGCACTGCAGCTCCACTCAAACGATTGTTCTTCAGCAAAGAGATTGAGCTGAAAAAGTCCAGTGAGTATTACTGAGTTACACTTTACTAAAGGAAAACTCTAAGATGTACTTTCTTTGTTTAGAACTTCGAACAGTTCAAACCCTTCCAGGAAGTTGTGTTCATGAGGTCTGTCCTAAGAGATGTACATAATGTGACTATTATTTCTATAAATCTATCAAATGTCTGGTGTATATGTAAGAGAAACAATCATGGATGAACAACAATAGTTTTATTTCAAGAGGTCATCACAGCATTCAAATAAATTTAATGGAATCGTTTCTTGTGCTCCATTTCTTCAACAGTGCAGTTAGTTATTGATTTTCTCACAGCCTATGTTCATCAGGAAAGTAAGATTTTTATATAATCTTATGTGATTCATGTTAACAGTTAAAAGCGGCCCACCAAGTCATCTGAAAGGAAAACTGATTAATGACAAGTTGTGCTTGGAGTGGGAAGCTCCTCTCCCGTCTCTGTCAAACCACATGAAGTATGAGGTCAATGTTCAGATCAAAGGAGTTGAAGAGTACACGGTAAGTTAGATCCACCAACAAAAGCTGAGCTGTTCAACAACTTAAAAAACAAGATAGTCACTCTTTCAATGAAAATAACAATGGTGAGCAACGTTTTTTCTTCTGATAAGAAGAGTCTCTAAATACTTTTTCTTTCATCTGGAAAAAAGCTAAGGAGTAAAAGAAACTACAAGGACACAAGAAAAAAATACCTAGCATTAGTCAAAAACAAACCTCTCAAATTTTGGTTGTTTTACTGAATTAATTGTATTTTTTATATAAATATGGAAAAAAAAAACTAAAGAAGCAGAAGTTCAGAGCTCATCATGAAGGTTCTAACAGGATGTACAGCCTTATTGTTGTTGGTAATCCGAAAAAGGCCAAAGAATTATATATTAGGTTTTGACATATTGTTTAACCCTGTACTCAACGTTAATGTCAATCTTGTCTTGAAAGTTTCATTATCATACCACAAGATGGCGCCAAAAGAGAGAAATTGTCACCTCAACATGATAAATGTTCCAAAATTTTAAATGAATGAAAAATAAAGGTTTCTAAAGTTTTGTATTCATGAGGTACTACAAAACCTTAAACAATGTACCAAAAAATTGAATAAACAAACGAGAATGCAAGCAGCAAATATGAGAAAAAAATAGTATGGCTAAGTATTTATTTAATTATTTATTTTATTTCTTCCCATAGATGACAAAACCGGGAGACACTAGCATGTGTGTGAGTCTTTCATCAGGAAGCCAGTTCAGTGTAAGAGTTAGAGCTCAACCTGATGGGTCGATTTATTCAGGATACTGGAGTGACTGGTCAGATGTCCTCTCAGGTACCAACTCTGATATTTCAGGTAAGTCTGAAATAATGAAAAAATATTCAAGTAAAAATAAAAAGCTTTTTAATTGGTTTAGTTTGAAAATGTTTCACAGTTTCATTAAATACAGCACAATGCAGCTGTATATCATTCATCTATCACAACCTAATAAAATGTAGTTTCAATTAAATTTTGCTTCATGAATAAAAACATGGCTGTTTTTATTCATGTAGCTGTTTTTATTCATGTAGCAGTAGAATGTGACAAAGTGGTTCAGTGCGTTTACCAC